AAGCATTAGGTTAGGAATTTAAAGAATATTACTATCGTTATTAGTAAGTTGGGCATAACTTTGTCTCAGGACCATAAGTTAAACAAGGTTAAGGTGATTTTTTAATTTTTTTCTAGGTTTTTATTAATTGTTAGTATTTATACACACTCCAGAGATTTCTGTGATGTAAGGTTTTAAGTCCTTACTGAATTTATCAGATTGTTATAACAATACTTTGGAACATTCAGTTCAAAATAATCCCAAGACATTCTGCTCATAACAATCCAGCCACCCAAGGCCATGTCTGGATAAAGACCCTGGTCTTATTCTGGTGGTCACATCCTGCACATTCCTCACATCCCCTCTTTGGCTCCCCATATAGCTCCCTTTTTTGTTTATTAAATGATCTGCCATTTCTGACGGGCAGTAGGCTGTACCTGTCTTAGGTTGTCCTTGGTGACATTTTCTCTTACCTGTCATCGGGTAACGCATATTTGCATGCACCCCCTGTCTTGAATTGACAAACATCCCAAGGATCTTACCCATCATTGACTACCAGCCTCTGCTTCTAATGCCTTGGCTTGAAGTTTTAACTGATGAATTTTGGAGCAAGCTCCAGGAAAGGAGCTCCTGAGTATTCGCACAAGGCAGGAGGCACAACACAGCAACACAAGACCAGTACCTGCTGCCATACCAGCAGGCATTAACCGCTGTTGCCAAGAGGGCCAGTGTGATAGGAGACCATACAGTTGTTGCAGCAATTTATTTGCCTTCTGTGCTGCATTAAAGGGAGAGGAATGTGCCTTCTTTATCTCTAAGATCTCTCAATGGAGTGTAAGAATATCCATTATTATTTCATTGTCCCTGCACCAAACACCTTGTAAATTTTTTTTTTATCTTTTCTCAATCATGCTGGCTTTCATTATAGATTTTAAAGGTGACACAAATCCATTGATACAACGCATGACATCAGACAGAAGAGCGCACATGTAACCCATCAACCCAGTTCCTCAGATGTAAATTTTAAGTTTTAAGCATACCCATTGTTTTATGGCCACCTCAGATACCATCTGTTATATATATCTTTTCATGAAATCCTTTTAATTCTTTACAATTCCCTCTTAGACCTTCTCCAACATAACTCAAACCTTTTGCAACATGCTTTATTCCTTGATTACTTGTTTCCTTTTACTTTTTTTCATTCTGCAAATAATCCAGCCATCTTACTGTAGGACAAAAATTTTATCATACAAAATTCTTTCAATATTGAAATGTTTTATTTTTTTAAACATTTTTTACCACAAATACATCTTCATACCTATATCTTTCTTTCCAGAATAAGGTCCAAGGCGATTTTCTTTGGCACAAGGGGGAAGATACTGGTGTTGTGTGGCATTAACAGAGTTGTTTTCTGGTCTAGGAGCCATCATATGAACCGTCTGATTCTCTCTGGAAATAGTCCTGTCCAGTAGATTTCTGTTTCAGCGAGTGTCACTATCTTCAGGCAGATCCATAGGCACAACATCCTCCTGGTCTTTCTGAGTGTCCATAAACCGCACCAAGCGTTCTAGAAGCCAGAGAGTTCCATCATTGTCCTGTGAAAAAAACCACAAACATCTCCTCAACCCCGTATCAACACAGGGTCGGGCCCATAATAGCTTCTCCACTATGAGTTGTAGCCAGGGGATTATCTGCAATTGCGATCACTCCAGTGAAATAGGGACGGCTGTCTTTTCTTGACTGAGAGCTATTACAGGATGTCTGTTAACATTATACTGAGCTGCCTCTCACTCAGTCTGGTCCAACTCCTCAGGGGTTAATTCCTCATCTTCTAATTCAGGGACAGGGGTGGGGGGGCGGGATTTCTTATCAACTTCTCCTGCCAGGGAGGAGCAGAGGGAGAAATTCCAACAGCCCAGGAGAGTCTTTATCTGCGGTGGGAAGAATCCTCTTCTGCTCAGTCTGTTTTTGATGAAATTTTCTATCTCTTTTTTTTTAACCCTTTGTGGTAATTACTGATCTTCTTTTCTAAGTCTGTCCTCTCATTTTTCTGGAGTTTCTCAAGTGTTGAAAACTCCATCTGCTATTCTCATGAGATTTTTAATAGTCATATCTCTTGTTCTTTCTAATATCCGGTGCTGCCTGATTAATAAAGAACATGATAACAGCAGATTGCTTTTCTTCAGCTAGGGGGTCTAAGAGGGTGAACTGTCTATAGGCACTCTAGAGATACTCTAAAAAAGCGGCCGGGTTTTTCTTTTTTTCTCTGAATTATTGGTTTTTTCTTTGCCAAATTGGTGGGGCGCCTAGCAGACTCTTGGAGATCTGTCATAAGAGTCTGGTGATAAACTCAGAGAGGCTCCCTACCTTTAGCATTCCCAAAATCCCAGTTGGATGAACAAGGCTTTTTTGTTTTGTTTTCTTTTCTTTTCTTTTCTTTTGGAGAGGTTTTTGCTATAGGGCACGTGCGCTCGCCAGACAGACAGAGAGAGAGACAGAGAGACAGAAAGTGAGAAACCACCCCCCAGTGGGGATGGTCATGCCACAATCCCTTTTCCTCCATTCTCCTCTCGGGATCTTGGGCACGCACACACACGCGTGCCCTGAGTGAGTTTAAGCCACTGGGTCTGGGACTCGAACCTCAGTCGACTTCGTCGGAGTCCAGCGACATAGCCATTGCGCTAACTGCTGGTCTCAACAAGGTTTTGAGAAGCTTCTGGCAGTTATCCCAAATGGGGCTTTTCTTACGTCAAGTCCGTAACTGTGGACTTTCTCCTGGACTTCTGAGAATGATCTAAAGTCAAACTCTTAGGAGTTACTTGAGTTTGGGCCATGACAGGAAAAAGGAGAGACAGAGGCAAATGTCAGGCCAAACGGCGTCCAATGCAGACGCTCTTGTTGATCTCCCAGTTATCAGAGACATCTCCTCCAACTTCAAGTGGAGCCTCCAAGGTGGTTAACCCAGTTCCACCACAGAGAATTCTCTACCAGAATCAGATAGGTTTGGGAACAGGCTCCAGAGCCCCCTGCAAGTCCCAAAAGGAGATGGCCAATTCTCCTTTCCAGAGCAAGACAGGTCTGAGAACAGGCTCGAAGGCCCCCCTGCAAGTCCCAGACAGAGGTGATCAATCCTCCTTTCGCAGCTAAGTGCCAAGCCTTCTCTGTCGTGTCTAATCTGGCTATCACCAAGATGATCAATCCCAGATGAGCCCTGAAATGTAAGGGTCCTGAGATCGATCTAACCATTGGTGATGCAGAAAAGATGACCACAATGCAATTATATAAGAGGCTTTTATTTTTCCAGCTAGCTGGGGTCCGAGTTTCTTCCTGATGCAGCGGGCTTTCAATAAGGATCCCGAGCCTAAGATAAAGGGATCTTTTATAGCTCCAAATCACAATATAGGAAGTACAGTCAATAATTTTCCACTTGACGGAAGTGGGTGTGTGAAAGCCAGCTGTTACTATATGTTTAGGTTTAGATTAGAACTTTCAGTAGAGGTCAGGTTGACCTGGCCCTGGCATCGTCAGGGCCCATCCGCACTTTGTTTATTTATGTGGTCTCAGACTCCTCGAGTTCTGTCCTTGAGGGTCTAACATGGCAGTGGTTATGTCAATTCAGCCTAACAGGTCCAGAGGCTTAAAACTCATGCCAAGTGCCTGTACGTGCTGCCTAAAATTCTGAAAGGAGAATGGAGGAGAAGGGATTGCAGTGTGGCCATCCCCCATGGGGGGTGATTTCTTGTTTTCTGTCTCTCTGTCTCTCTCACGAGTGCACATACCCTATCACAAAATTCTCTCTTAAAAAAAAAAAAAAAAAAGAAAGAAAGTAGTTTAACTTAATAAGAAGCTAAAGTGATCAATTTAAACTTTTCACTAGCCTTTGTACCAACCTATCTCTCAAAATTAAAGTGTCTGTGACTTGCCATGTTCAGGGCCAATTAGACTCTAGAAGCAAGATTAGCCTTTTATTATCACCCCTCCTGTAAACCCGGTGTCAATTCAATACTACAGGGAAGCAAGGATCTCTTTCCTAATTGACTCATTAAAACAAAATCAGAATGAACCGCTTTCCAGAGAATATTGGATGCAAGTCTTGAGCAACATAGTACAATACTGCATATGTAAAGTTTGGCCACTTTTTATAATCACATTCTTCTTTTGTTTTCTTTGTTCTTCTTTCCTTCTATCCTTCTTTATTTTTTTTCTTTTCTGTTTTCTTATCCAAAAAATGTGGTTTTGAATGTCCTGAGAATTATTTTAGAATTCTAAAAAGTTTTCTTTGAAAAAAAAGTAAAAGAAATATACTATGAATAATAAAAATGTATGTGGAATGTCTCTTTCTGGAATTTTTTTCCCCTCTTGTTGGATAAAACATAAGAACAAATGAAAATATTTTCCAGGATAGTTAGTTCTAGTTTATACCAGCTGTCTCTTTGTTCTCTGGATCATACAGGTTTCGGATAATTGATATATTTTTATGCTATATTACAGAGCATTCCTGTGTAAAAGGTGTCACTAAATATTTCTTAAGTTGATGGGTTTCAGATTACACAAATGGGAAAATTGACATCATAAGGAATGAGTCTCAGCAAGCTCACTGACCTGTTACGTGCTTTAACTTGGGCACATTAATAAATGTCAATGGCTTGGGATTCTTCCATATATTGCTCCAAAACAAATATTAAAAGATTAGATGGATATAAAATGAAAGGTTAAAACAACACCAATTACATCAGAAGACAAAACAGAAACAAAGAACCTGTATAGCATGGGAACTTTCAGGATTATCTACAGGCCACTGCATTGATCAAAAGGAAATGGGTACTTTCTGAAAATGCTCAAGAATTCCTTAGGCCCCCCATACTCTAAAGAAACTCTGGGATTCTGTACTGGTCCCCAGTATTCCATTTGGACAGTAGAGACCACACACTAAATCCAGATACTTCCTGTACCTTTCAAGCTCAAAGATAAGCACAACCCCCAAAAAATACACAGCACTCAAAAATAAATGATGCCAAGCTTTTAATAAGTGAATTTTAAGAAGGACATGAGAATAAAATTTTGGCAGAAACAAGTCAAGAAAAACATCAGTTCAGGGATGCCTTCTTCTGAATTCATTTCTCCATTCAATACCTAAAGAAAGAAGAAACAGAGAAGGACATAATTGGATTAAGGGTTGAAACTCTCAGAGGAGATGAGATTCATGCTTTCTTAAAGATAAAAGGGGAGGGTAGCAGGGAGCATAGAGAAGAGGAAGAGTCCTGAATGCCTTCCACAAGATGAAGAACGTTGCTCATTTCAACTGCATGGGTATGGTCAGTACTCACTGCATTCTCAGTGCCTGGCATATTGTGACCGTTTAATAAATGTTAGTAGAATAAATAAGTGAATAAAAGCAGGTGACACATATACAGAATTTCTTCTGAGATAGCATGCTTTTCTACACACCAGGGAGAAAGTAGACAATATTCTAGACCATTTTAACTCTAAATCCTATACTCTAATTATAATTGGGTACAAAATACCAGGCAGGGTTAGAAAACACTAAAAGACAAAAATTACAGATGATATTTTAAGGTGAGAGTCAGAGAGCTGAGGAGAGTCCCTGATACTTACTCATTTCTTGGATTGTGAAGGTCAGTTGAAAAAGCCAGGGTCAATCATAAGACCATGTGTGCACCTCGGGCCACACCTAGTGCTGGGGCAGCATTTCATCGGAAATACACAGTCGTTATCTGTTGTACAAGGGTCCTCAGAACACATGAGATGCTTAGATTGTTGGTTAGTGTTCCCTTTGCCAAGCAAGGGTCTAGGCTGGGCTGGGCTTTTGTTTGGACGGCCTTTCGGTTGTTTTGCAGGAGTTTCCCAGATCTCAGGACATGTACCTGGCCTCACATCTGCAAAGAAAAACGGGACTTATGAGACTCTTACATTATCTGTATTTCTACCAGGAATTTCATTTCTTCCAAAGATTTCTCTGTTTGCTCTTCTGGTAACTGATTTCTCTGCTTAAATCATGTCTTAAAAGTACTATGAAACACTACTACGCATATTTTCAACACATAGCTCTGAACTGTCAGACCAGCTCCAACCCAGTTACTGTAATATTCTGATGTATGTGATAATATGATATAAGTAATATATATTTACTTAGAATATGTGGAATATTTATATAAAGAGATATATATACATATTTTGAAAATATATCATTGAATATATATAAAGAGAAAATATGCATATTTGGAAAATATGCTTTTGAAATAAATTGGGAGCAATAAGTTACTCATGCAATGAGGAAAGATGTTTCAATTCATGTTTGCCTATTTTAATAAAGTCTTATTTCAGTTCTATATAGGATTAACAAACGATTTTTGTCCATGAACTATTTTTTTTTTAAGAGAAATGTTTGCCATTGGACACGTGCACTCACTGTAAAGACAGAGAGAAAGAAAGTGAGAAATCACCCCCAGGGGGAATGGTCACACCACGATCCCTTCTCCTCTGCTTTCCTCTCAGGATCTTGGCCATGCGTCCACATGTGGCTGACATGAGTTTAAGCCACCGCAGGTCTGGAACTCCAACCAAGGTCGATTATGTGAGAGTCTAGCAATGTAACCATTTTGCCCTCTGCTGGTCCCCATGAATACACTTTTTAATCGCCATGAGTATTCAAACACAGGCTTACTTAACATATGATATAGTGCAGTGGTTCCCAACATTCCTGGCACCAGGAACTGGCAACATGGAAGACAATCACTCTGTGATCAGGGTAGGGGTCTGGGTAGGGAGTGGAGATGGGTTTGTCCCAGGATAACCCAAGGGCACCACATCCATTGTGCATCCCCTTTCTATCACTACCACATTGCAATATACATAGGGTTCCATTCCCATGAAAACATAATACCACCATTATTCCAGATAGGAGATGGGGCCCAGGTGGCAATTACAGGGGTGGGGAGCGGCTGCAAACACAGACAAAGCCTAAGTCAACCACCTGCTGCCACTCATCCTTGCTGCTTGACCTACCTCCCAAGAGGTCACAAACTGGTACTAGTCTGTAGCCTGGAGGTTGGGGATCCCTGCTATAGCGGATATCTTTAATACATTCATTTACACACTTCTTTAATTTCTAATAAATATTTATTGAGTGCCTACTGTGTATGTTAGAGCTGTCAGCACTGGAGACACAGTAGTGAACAGAGCAAAATAAATGGTGAGTCCATTCTTTCACAGAGTGGGTAAGATAGATAATGAGAACACATTAGTAAAATACATTGTGTATTAAACAAAGATTATTACTAAAGAGAATAATTAAATCAAAGGAGATCCCTAAAAGTTGTTTGCAATCCTAAAGGTCTCTAGTTCTTTAACTGTGGCTATATGAGCATTAATCTATATAAACCAATATTTTCAGAAGTTTTTGCCCACTGTACATCTTTGGATTTGTTTGTTTTAATTGCCAGATGATGTGTGCACTTTCCAGAGACAAATAGAGAGAGAGGAATAAGGAGAAACATCTGTTAGTGGGGTATGGTCACAATGCAATCTCTTCTCCATTTCTCCATCTTGTGACTGGGGACACGCATGCACTTGTTTCTTCAAACTGTCAGGACTGGAATTTAGACCACAGTTGGTCATAGGGGACCTGACTCCCTCAACCACTGTGCCATGGGGTTAACCTTATACATCTTATTTTCACACATTTACTGCCACTCAAGAAGCACTGATCAGGCTAGTCACCTCCTAGTGTGGAGGTTCCCAGACCTGGCAGCTTGAACATCATGTTAGGCACATGTGTGTGCGTGCCCAAAATCCCAAGAGGAGACTAGAGGAAAAGGGATTGCAGCTTGGCCATCTCCCATGGGGTGGCTTGTCGGGGGAGTAATTTCTCACTTTCTGTCTCTCTCTCTCTCTCTGTCTCTGTCTCTCTCTGGTGAGCACACATGCCCTATAGCAAAAACTAACTAAATAAAGAAAGAAATAAACACTGATCAAACTTTTCCTTGGACTGAAAGGAGTAATGCTCCTACTTTACATGAGGTTAATTAAGTTATAAACTTTTGATTAAAATTAAGTTGATATTATCAGTTATGAATAAGTGACAAGAAGTATTAAAAACTTTCATGATGATTGTATGACATTTTGACACTATAAAATGTTAAAATCTAACATATGAATATAATAACCCCTATTGATCATTTTACCATAGACTAGGAAACACTGGACACAAGAAAAATGAATAAATATATTTTAAAATATAGAAATTAAATAATAAATAAAACTAAATTCACTCTCTAAATGTAAAAGAAGGACAAAGAATCAACCAAGTGTGAAGTTCAGTTTCTAATTTCTCTATAATCTTTGTTTTCCTTTGTTAGGAAGAGTGACAGAATTGAAGAATTTAAAGTTTGGAAGCAGTTTTCAATGGTTTTTTATGAAAGGTCTGTACTTACAAGAGGTCTTCAAAAATTCACAAACGTGTTACAAACAAACTGTGCATGAATTCAATGGGTGGGTGGGGGGCACCAAGATAAACTCACACTTTAATTCCACTTCTGCAAGAACTTTTTGTGATCTCCTTGTCTTATATGGTTTGGGATTTGGGGGTTTTGTTCCTCCCCCCATTGATCTCTTTAATTCTGGGGGAAAAAAATCTGTCGTGATCCTTTATTCTTGATGTATTCACTCACTATTCTGTTCGACCCTCTCTATTAATCCCTGTGTAATTATGATTTAATCCATGCCTATTTTTCAGATGATTGCGATGTCTCTTGACTTGCACCTGCACCATCTTTCTATGTGTCAGTGTGCATTCTGGTAGCAGAATTGCATGACTTTTTCCCAGTGCATGATGTACTCGTCGCTAATTTTAAATGAAAGTCCCAGCTCTAACAGTAAATAGATACAATTTTTGTTCTTATTATTCTTAACTCTACCCTTCACATTCTGCTGGGGTCTCCTCTCTGGCAGGCACTGCTAGCCCGAGCAATGTGCCCAGTCGTTCTCGACCAGGAGCATTTCAGAAATCGTTGCAGGCTGGCTCTCCTGTCACAGCCGTGGAGCACACACTGTGAATAGTCAGTGAGAGAATGAAGATGGAAGGGCAGAAACAGAGGAGCCTGCCTAGCTGGAGACTTCCTGTTCCATGAAAAAATGAAACCACAATTGGTTAAGATACAGCTAACAGTCAAGAATTCTATTAGTTGGAGTTGAACATAGTGCTTAACTGAATCAACTCTCCAATCATGAACATCTGTCCTCTAGTTCATATCAGCCACCAGAAAATGCAGTAAATCTCATATTCCACTTAGAGAAGAAACAGGTGACAGAAGAGAAAGATACCAAGGTATGATCTCACCTTGCCCTTCAGGATTCTGGTCTTGCGAAACACCTAGAGGAAGAAGAGAATAAAATGCAGAATAAGTGCTTTCGCATTGCCCAGTCATCTTCCATTTAGAAAATCCCTGACTCTCAGACTTCCACTGCTGCATGTGGTTAGTGAGTCTTCTGTTTGAATCACTATAACCATATTTCATGCCATACCATGAGTCATCTTAGTACACGTACAGCTTGGAAGTCATGCATGATACATTCTTGTATATTACTGATATTTTCTTATTCCTTAAGAAATGTTATTTCATCAACTATGTCATCCATGTATAAGACACATAATGGATTGTTCTCCCTCACAGTATGAATCCCATGGTTCTCAGTTAAATAAAATAGAAAAGGGTTTTTAAACTATTCTGAATGTTGGGGCTGGCACCATAGCCTAGTGATTAAGGGGACAGGCTCCCACATGGCTCACCACAGTTCAAATCCCCACTCTTGAAGCTTGAAAAACATTCCAGGCACGTGTATGTTTGTGTGTGTGTGTGTGTGTGTGTGTGCCCAAAATCCCCAACAGAATTAAAAAATAGAGAAGGGATTGAGGCATAACCATGCCCCATTGGGTGGGTACTTTCTCCTCTCTCTCTCTCTTTCTGTCCCTCTCTGGCAAGCACAGATATACTCCAGCAATTAAAAAAAAAAATGTTGGGCCAGCCCTATAGTGCAGTGATTAAGAACAGTGCATCAGAAGCCAGATCCTACATGGCCCATGAGCATTCAAATGCCAGCCCTGACAGCTTGAAAAATATGCCAGGCACACTTGGGTGTGTCCAGAATCCTAACACACTGGAGAAGTGGAAGAGAAGAGATTATAGCTTGACCATTCCCCATGTGGGGGTGGGGGCATGGGCTGCTTTCTCTTCTCTGTCTTTGTCTCTCTGTGGTGAGTGTATATGCCCTGTAGCAAAATAAATAAATTTGGTCATTTTCTTGGTTGCCTTTTGTTCTCTTATTTCTGTATGCATCTTTAGTTTTCCTGGTAGAAGAACTTCTTCAAGAGTGGGTCTGCTATTGGCAAATTCTTTCAGGTCTTATTTATCTGAGAATGTTTTTATCCTTTCTTTCCATATGAAAGATAATTTTGCTGGGTATAGTATTCTTTATTGAAATTGTTTTTCACTGAACACTTTGAATATAGTTTCCCATTCTTTCCTTGCTCACATTGTTTCCATGAGAGGTCTGAGGTTAGCCTGATTGGATAACTTTTATAAATAACCTGATGTTTCTCTCTTGCCAATTTTAGTATCTTGTTTTTGTCTGTAGATTCGACCAGTCTGGCTATGATGTGGCTTAGAGAAGGTCTTTTTGGATTGATTCTATTAGGGCCCTTTGTATTTCTTGGGACTGGATATTTGAATGCCTGTCTAGATTTGGAATGTTTTCCTCCAAGATTTCATGGAATAGATTATCAGTATAAGAGAATAAAAGGCAACCAAGAAAAGGACCAATTTAATGCTAGGGACAAGAAATATCAATAATAACATTGAATGTTAACTTCCAAGATTTAAATGGAAAGATTAGACCACAACAACACTGCATATTGAACAGAAGAGAGTTTGAACATAAGACTTAACTGGCAAAACAGAATTTTATGACTTTTGAGTAAAACATTATTGATTTTTTTTTTACTAGCTTTGTTTTCCCAACTTAAGTATTTTACTTTCTTTTGATTTGTTGATAGATACAGCAATTTGTTAAAATATTTCTCTTGGGACCAGCAGTTGGCATAATGGTTATGTCCTGGACTCCCCACATAGTTGACCATCGTCTGAGTCCCGGACCCAGTGGTTTAAACTCACGCCGGGTGCATGTGTGTGCCCAAGATCCCGCGAGGAGAATGGAGAAGAAGGGATTGTGGCCATCCCCCCTGGGGAGTGATTTCTCACTTTCTGTCTCTGTCTCTGTCTTTCTGATGAGTGCACTTGCCTTATAGCAAAAACCTCTCCAGAAAAAAAACAGTTTTTTCTTGTTTGTTTCTTTAAATGGAAACAAACTTGTCTTCCTTCCTGACCTCTCTGGAATTAGAAAATATTTAGGAGTATTCTTATTTTGTGGCAGAAGGGTTATTTGCGTAAGTTTAATAATACTTGTTGCATTGACTCAGAAATTGCAAATACTCATTATTGGACAGGGCTTTGGCTGGACTATCATACCTGAAGATTGATCAGAAAACTATGGAACTAAGGTGGATCTCAAGTAAGTCAACAGAAGCTCTTAGAAAGATGACCTGGTACCATAAATAGTTCTGCCTGGCAGAGAGGATTAGAGAAGATATATGAAAGAATTTATAACATAAAATAACCTGGACTTTTCCAGCCCAGCATTGTAATCAGTAGAGATTGCAAAAGAGCAACCACACCAGAGGATTATCCTGAGAAAGACTTTGCAGGAAGAAAAAGAGACTGCTCTTTGCTAACAGATGGTATATCACAGAATACTTGGTAGGCAGGGCTGAATTGAGAAAATTTATGTATGACTTGTGTGCTGGGCATTTGCTTTTCAATAATTTGAGTAGTTGACATGTAAATATTTTCTCAAAAATATTTAAAACCATGCTGTCTCTGTTGTTATAGGATCACAAACAAAATTATGCAAAATTATAAGAAATATTTTGAACATTATATTTAAAATTCAGTATTTTTAAATTTTTAAAGTTGTTTATTAACTGTCAAGAACTATGGAGTATGAGCAAAAATTTTTTTATATGTAAAGTAAATGTTTGTAGAAAAATGTAAAAATAAATAAATGAAAAAAGAAAAAAGAAATAAATTTAAAATTTAAAAAAAAGAAATCAACATTAACATTTTTTTTTCCTTTGTAAAAGAGAGAAAAGGAGCAGAAGAAGCCAGGCCCTCAGGAGAAGGTTCCACATGGCTCCAGTGAACTAGATTTTTAAGGGAATGAAGATTTTCTACTAATAATTCAGCCTCCAACAAACGAGCTAGCGTGATCACAATAGAACAGCAAAGAGATTCTAGATCACCTCTGCCTGCTTCCTCCTGAACATTAAGGCTGAACTTCAAGAATTTGAAAGAAACACAACATCCGTCAAATGACAAGAAGTCACTGACAGATCACGAGAAATATGGGAAAATGAGAAAATACCTCTCCAAGGGAAAAGAGTAACTCTTCTTCATCCACAAGCAGTTTGGTGAAAATCATGGAAATGTCTGATAAGGAATTCAGATCATTCATAATGTTGAAGCTAACAGAGATGGAAGAGAAGAGAGATGATGAACTGCTAAAGAGAAAGGAGAAAGAAGTTGATGAGTTCCAGGAGATGAGGAAATTTCTGCAAGATCTAAAAGAGGAATTAGACACTTTACAATAGACTCAAACGGAACTGCTAGAGATGAAGTCTATAATACAAGAAGTCAAAATCTCCCTTGAAAGTATTAAAAGCAGACTAGATCATTCAGAAAATAGAATCTCAGATGTAGAGGAGAAAATGGCTGGCCAGGAAAAATCCACCATGAAGACTGAGAAAATGGC